AAGAAAAAAGCAAGAGAAGAGTATTCTTCTGGACTTGTTAACTCCTGAAATCTTCCGATGATCTTCAAATGAGAAGAGGTCTTCTATTTATAGACTCTGGACTCCAAATGTTTCTTCATTGTATTTCAGTCTTCAATTATTTTGAATGGACGTTTACAGGTGGCACGATTTGCTGCAATTCTGAAGTCTCCAAGTGGCAAGATTCGCTGCAGTCTATGAAGAGAAGAGGGAAATGAGTGAATGCTTTTTGTAGTGGGAATCTTCCGTGGTCGGTACGGTGAGAAGGAAATAGTTGGCTGCTTTTATTGTGTGGCGAATTGATTTGAAAGATGACGGTACGGACGGTCTTCAATAGTGAGAGAATTTTTCTTAATTTTGTCGTATATAAGCAGTGAGCATCTTATATTTTGTATGGTCGATGAGCTTCTTGTCTTATATAGTCGGTGAGCATCTTTCTTTATCAAGAGGGGCTTTAATCACATCAACAGGTATTTTCGGTCTTGTTGTAACAACTTTTATATCATATCACAAGTATAGGATATATTCTTTTATCATCGGGTCATAGGCTTTAATATAATGTTTGTTTTTTAGACATTCCATGGGCTGATGTATTTTGGGCTTCTTCAATGGGATCTGTTTTTGTATTTGTTTCAGCTTCTTCTGAAAAACTTTCCTATAGTTGTTTGTCTAATTCGGCTCTGGTGGCTTGAGGATTGTGCTTCCTCATTTGAGATATATATTCAGATAGATTATTTTGGTTAAAGTAAAAAGAAGGTTTGAAGCTAGTTGGGACTTGTTTTAGTATGATATGTTTTGGGTCTAAATTATGGTAGACAAAGACGTCCCACCATTTCACAACAATCTGCTTTCCCAAACATAGGATATATTCATAATTTTTTATATTATTATCGGATATAGCAAATGACCATTTTAGTATCGACGGTATTTGATAAAATTCAACAAAATATAAATGATAATTAATTTTAGAATCCTTCCCATTGTATTAAATAAACTTTTCTTGAGAGGTTTGCCATGTTTCTGGCATTATTTGGGATAGAGATCCCCAAACTGTAAACCAATTTAGAAACCAATTTGGAACAGGGTCGGTTACCACCACTTTGAATTGGAGGAACCATGTGTGTGAATTATATTGGTTTTGGATAGTAAGTATACGGTGCCAGGCATCAATATAATCAGAGTATTGGTAACGTTTATTTGAGAAATCTGGAGATTGTAATTTTCTAGAACGTGAAGGGTCTGAACCCCATTCACTGAAATTCAATATTTTCCGTATCTGCATTGTTGAATATGATATGATCTTTGAATTCTTATGATAATACTGAGTGAGATATATAGAGCATGTTTCTAGTAGAATAATCTCAAACCACTCTCTGGTTTTCATACCATTAGAGTGGTTCAGGTTATTGCATAGGTAATATTTGGCTACCGTATTTAGGTCTTCTGAAGCATGTATGTTTTCAATAATAGCATATTTGGGGGGGGGTATATTAAAATAAAAGGTCAAAAATAAAGAAGAACTTGTTAGATTTACGTCAAAAGTCTTTGAAATGCAGCTTAGTAGAACTACTCCACAATTAAAAAGGAAATTTTAACCATTGTAAAAACTTTGTTAAAATTTCAAAGTGAAATCAAAATTACTTAAGAGTAAGACTATAAAAGTCTGCTAAAGAAGTATTAGAAAAAGATGTTAAAAATCTAGCATCAAAACAAATTTTCACTAAATGGCAAACAATTGTTTTGATGGCAGACAGTTTTACCATTGTTGATGTTAGACCAATCAGTTTGCTTAGAAGTCTTTATAAGAAAGTAGCGAAAGCTTTAGCTGAGAGGTTAAAGTTGGTTCTTTCTTAGATCATTGAGGGGCCTCAGTCTGCCTTTGTGCAAGATTAAATAATCATTGATAATGTTCTTGTGGTGCAAGAATGCAATCATCCAAGAGTTTTGGATGGAGAACCAGTGGTCTTTATGAAGCTTAATATGGAAAATGTCTATGATAAGGTAGAGCAACAAGTTACATCCTGTAACTATATGCTTGTAACGTGAACTTTGAGGCCTCTTAAGGAAATACATGGCACCCTCCTCAGATATTAACATATTTTTCAGGGCACTTTCTTTGGTTTTTTTATGGTTTTCAATGCATCATTTGGAGAATATTTCTCAAGATAACTGCTTCTTGTGCACTAACGGTGACATGGATCAAGCACTCGAAAAACCGGTCCAAATCGATGAATCGATAAGTCCAAATCATCATTTTACTGTACAGAAAAAGTAGTGAACCGCCAAAAAGAACATATGACATAACAATTAACCACCCAAAAATTGGTCCAGCTTGATGAATTGAAGGTCCAAATCACCGTTCTACTCTAGAGAATCGCCATTTTACCGTGTGAAACTACCGGTTCCCTTCTAGACTCGACAATCTTCCTATATGTACACGAAACTGAAACAAGTTCATCGATTCCCAGATTCAGGTGAAATTGTTTTCTAAAAAATATTTCACATGAAAAAATTTTCTTATGAAAAAATTCTCTCATGTAGTCAAGTATAAAAATATTTTCATACAAGTCATCTTTTCACACCAATTGAAAACTAATTGATGTAAAAATATTCCCCCTCAACCACATGAAAGAATTTTTTTCATATAAAATATTTTTCAAAAACTATTTCACACGAACCAAACGAGAATTTTTTTCATATAAAAATATTCTTCAAACAACCATTTCACGCGAACCAAACGTGATTGTTCTAAAAGCAACACAAATTATTTAAAGGTACATGCATACCTCCCTTTGATTGTTTAGGGCTTCAATAATATACAAACCGCATATATATGTCTGGTAGTAGGACCTCAACATTACACAAAGTAAATTTTATAATTAGATATGAAAATAAATTTTATAATTAGATATGAAAATAAATTTTCAAATCACTATATTTTTTAAGCTTCAAATTTTATAATTAGATATAAAAATAAATTCCCAAGCCATCATCATAAGTATATTTGGTATTAGGACAAATGCTATTTAAAGGTACCGTTCTTTTAGTTGTACTAAAATTTTTCATTTCTAATCCAACGCCTATAGGTAAAAATAAACAATGATTTCGCCTACTGTCATCACCGTCCAAAGTTCATCACACGGTTACGATTACTCAATAATGTTTTATTTTTTCATTTTTTTTCTACAAATCGAAATGATCTAAAATTTAAAAATATATACATCTTAATAAAACGCATTTAATAAAAATATAAAATAAAATAATTAATGAAAATAAAATTTCCCAAAATACTCTTAAAAACTTTTTGATGGTATTTTGATCCATTTTTCTCCATGTAAAATATTTTTTTTGATATTTTTTGTAAATTCATCTATTTTTTATAATCACATGCTCTAAATTTTATATCATTCTGATTTATAAAAAAAAATTGAAAAAATCAAACTTTACCGAACAATCGTGCCTGTACAATAAACTTTGAACGGTGATGTGAGTAAACAAAATCACTGCTCATTTTCGCCTATAAACGTTTCGTAGTATCTTCCAAATTTAAATATTCAAAAATATCGTAAACTAAACATACATATACATATACATATATATATATATATATATATATATATGAATGAACATTTTGCAAATTTGTAGATTCCAAATTTAAATATTTGGAAATAGCGTATACTGAACTTATATATGAACATTGTTAACATTTTGAAAATTGACTGTCTATATAATAGATTAAAAGATGCAATTTTCAAATCTACTTTTCTACTATTCATAAATCTTGAGTTTGTGATGATCCAATTGAAGAGTTTTCAACATCGTGACCACCTCCACTTGTGAATTTTTACGGAGTTCCTTAATTTGGGTCTCTCCCTCGTATTAACTTTTTCCCAAAGAAATATACATCTCCTAGAAGCTAAAAACAAATGAAAACACATTTTAATTGCTAACGAAACTTGGTAATACCTAAACCATATGAGCCTCTTCCCCAAATAGGGGTCTATTTGGGGGCAGCTATATAATCATTAATTATTCCTAAACCAAAGCTTGATTAATCGATGCAGTTATAATTCTCCACAATAAGTCAATAACCCCACTCTTGAGGGAGGAGAGGCCAGAAACGCTTTATAGATGGATTTAAAGGGGTCGATTTAAAATTATCTACAAAGTAATTAAAGAGAATTATAGATGGGTTTAAAAGAGATGGATTTAAAATTCTCTACAAATTAATTAAAGACAAGTTAATTAAAGAGAAAGACCACATCTAAGAGAAGGGATGGTTTTCATAAATTAACACCAGATCGATCGATTTTCATACATTAATAACAGAGCAATAAATAACAGAGCAATAAAAGAGAAGCGGATTCTCCTCTCCAAAAAAAATACAATTTCCATTGCACAAACACTCATAGACTCGGTATAAAGCAAAACAACAAGCATAAATAATGAAAAACATTTCCTTAAAATAATGAAACAAAAAGAGTCAGCAATGGCCTTTTAACACAAAAGCAATAAACAACCATTTCGAGGCTGCCGGCTGAGATTTGCTTCACATTTTGTGAAACCCAAAACCTCCAAATAGCCATTACAGTTACAGAGAATAAACAACTCCACAGCTAAGAGATGCAAAAGTACAAGAATCACAGTGAAAAGAAACCATAAACCCAATGAAATCTATGAGTTCAATGTCAATACCAAAACGAAACCCTAAACCATTATTTTCCTCCATGAAGTAGAGGACATCTACGTTTGGGACATGATCAACTATGAAATCTACGAGTTCAATATCAACTATGATATCAATACCAGGACTAAACCCTAAACCATTATTTTCGTCCATGAAGTAGAAAAAATCAAACAGATTTCAGCTCATTAACTAAGAATAAGGAAATCGACATGAATAACCCAGATACATAGAAAAGGAGAAATAAAAACGATTATATCAAAGGGAAAAAAACATCACGCATCAACAAAATGAAAAATAAAATAAAACAGGAGCATGTTATTTTTAAGTCCCACTCTTTCTTATTCTCCAAGTAAAACTCTACATCAAAGACTCCAAAGGGAAAGAAAAAAGTAAAACAGTGAGATGAACAAAGCACTCACATGCACATATAGATCCAGAACACCACAGAACTCATACAATAACCCCCTACCATAGCATAAACCTAAACCAAGCACAAAAGCCCCTTAAGAAAATAGGAGAAACCAGAACCCGAAAATTAAAACCAAGCTTTAGCAATGGCTTCAAAGCTGACCACAATCAGCAACCACAACAGGCTTCGAGGTCCTTCCCGAATCAGATCCCACCTTCTCGACAGCCTTAACAACATCCATTCCCTCCACGATTTGCCCAAAGACCACATGCTTGCCATCGAGCCATGCAGTCTTAGCCGTGCAGATAAAGAACTGAGAGCCATTGGTATTTTTCCCTGCGTTTGCCATCGACAAAATACCAGCTCCAGTGTGCTTCTTGATGAAGTTTTCATCGGGAAACTTCTCGCCATAGATCGATTCACCTCCAGTTCCATTTCCACAGGTGAAATCACCACCCTGACACATGAAACCAGGGATCACACGGTGAAACTTTGATCCCTTGAAATGGAGGGGCTTACCAGATTTTCCCTTGCCCTTCTCACCAGTGCACAAAGCTCTGAAGTTCTCAGCAGTGCGAGGAACAACGTCGGCGTACAGCTCCATTACGATGCGACCAGAAGGCACACCACCGATCTCCATGTCGAAGAACACTTTGGGGTTCGACATCGTTTCCCTCTCAAAAGCAAGGGTTTCTCTCTCTAAAACCAGGGTATTTCTTGATCTCTCTTCTGCAACTTTAATGGCGATGAGCAGGACGAAGCGACAGACGTGGATTTTATAGATAACGCGGAGGGAGATATCTAATACGGAGAGAATCGGAACCGCTAGTATTGACACGTGGTAAAATCGTATGTTCTTACTCTAGGGTTTCGGGTTACCGGGGTTGGGTTGGGATAACCGTGGTTAGAACTTGACTAGGGGTTAGGGTTTATTTTATCTACTGGGGAAAAGGAATATCCGGTTTTCTTTTTCTCGGTCTTTTTTGTTTTAAATAAGGAAAACATTTATATAAGGTAATCCATGTTGTTTTAATATTGAAAAACCCTCATCATCTCAACATTTAAATGTATGACTATGAAAAATAAAAAGATTTTAAGTCTTAAAATACTACATTTTACAACATATTATCTACACTGTTCATTTTCAAGATTTTCATATGCTTATAGATCTACTTGAGTTTAATTATTTTCTAAATTTAAATTTTATAATTAAGTATAAAAATCGATTTTGAGATAACCCTAATAACATTTTACATCAAAATTATATACCATGATAAAATTTGAAGGCGCCCCTTACCTCTACAGCTACGGATGCATCCGTATGCCAACTGCACCCTTTAAATAAAATTGGTAAAGCAAGTTTCTAAATGAAAAAGACTTCATGAAAGAATTTCAGTACATGACCAATGTTTGAACGAGAAAGTATATAATGAGACCGTTTACCTTTGATATAAAGATGGCATATTAATTTTGACGATTGAATGTGAAATTGAGTGACTGCAATTATTTCATTGATCAAGCTCCAACTTTAAAAGAAATTTTCTCAAACATTGCGACACATCCAAGCGATCAAATTTCACATCGGATGGTTGGAAGTAATTGTGATTACATTGTATCAAAGATAAATGGTCTCATTATATACAATCCGTTTTTGAAAAGTCAACTTGGGCCTAGTACTCGGCCCATGCCCCAGCCTGGTACCCTTGAGTCCGAGTAATTCAGCCTAAGTAGGGCTGAGTTCTATAGTAGCTAAGACTTATTAACAAAATAAAAAAATTAAAAAAATAAGAAAATTATATTTAAAGTGAAATTTAACAAAACACAACCATTTGATTAAATATATTCAGAGCAAATTTTTAAAAATGAGTTTGTGACGGTATGTATTTTAAAATTTTTTAAAAAAGATGCAAAATTATAAGAATAAATATTTATAGCCAAAATATTTCCAATCTTTAACAAAATGATAGAAAATATAAATAAAGAAAACGTTTATATAAAATTGCAACTTTAAATGTAGAATTATGTATGCACATCAAAAATCTATCGGAAAATGTTGTTTTAATGTTGGAAAAACCCTCTAATCGATCATCTCGACAACAATATATGTATGACTATAGAAACAAAAGTTTTTGAATCCCAAAAGTAGTACTTCTTGTAACACATTATCTAGAACATCCATTTCCAAGATTTTCATATGTTTATAAATCTACTTGATTTAAAATACTTTTGGAGTTCAAATTTTTATAACTAAATATAAAAATAGATTTTGAGATAATATTAATAATTTTTTACATCAAGATTACATGTTATGATAAAATTTGGAGGTGCACCTTAATTGAATTATTTAAAGTGACAACCTTATAGAAACCACACCCTGTGAATAAACATGTTACAAATATAATTCTTATTTTTTTGAGATTTTTATAATTTTTTTGTTAAGATCCTCGAGTTGGACCCCAACTCAGCCTCGACAAGGGCCTGAGCCCGAGTAACTCAACTGACTTTTGGAGCACTGTACATGCCGCATGCGCCATAGGTACGTTCCAATGAGGTTTAGCCTTACTAAAGTTAAGATCTATCATTGATCATCGGAACGGTGGTGATCCATTATCATGTACCCTAGAGCGCAATAACACTAATCGCATGGTAATACTAAAAAGTACAAAAAAATTTAAGGGTATGGTAAACTTTACTATGTACTATATGGACATGTTATTTCCACGTATTTATGTCTATGCGATAGACGATGAGGCATGTTTGTGTTTAAAAAAACGCCGAGCCCGGTTCGATTCAGGAATCGCCATTGACGGATCGAATCGGCGAAAAAAACAAGAATCGTCCGGTTCTAGAGAGAACCGGACGATTCTGCACAGTGACTCGCCGATTCACTGTACGGAATCGGCGAGTCCTGTAACAATTTTTTTTTTTTT